TGGCTCCACATCGAAAAGGCCGCTTTGAAATTGCTCGGGCCTGTGCGAAACCCGCCACCCCAAAAACCTGCAGTGTCTTGTGTCTGGACCTCTAGGCCCTGTCCGGTGGGGTGAAACGACATTGAAAAATCAACCCATTATTTTTCTAGGGGCGGCCAGGACCCGATAAACGTCCTGGGCCGCCCCATTTTTTTTTTTGATTTTGACCTTAGAGGCCTCAATCCAGACATATTGTCCAGACACCGGACACCTGACTGTTTGGAACCCGGTCCGGACGTCCGGACGGTTACCATGGTTTTTTTCCATATATATATATTTGCGCTGGAGCCATGCTAATCATCTCTGTATCGTTCCAATTTTAACGGATGTCCCGTTCCAATTTTAACGGATGTCCCGTTCCAATTTTAACAGATGATTGTATTTTTTCAATTTTTGTCTAATTCCGTCAGGATTTGAATTCCAAACCTTCTTTTTTGACTAGCTGTTAGAAGTGTGTACTGTCCTGCCACATTAGCTGGGTGAGTGTCACAATTTGCTTGTGTGGTGTTTCACGGTGACGACTTTCATATTCCTCTGCAGTTTGTTGTGGTCACAAGCGTAAGCTTCAAGAGGAGACGCGATTGCTTTTGTGGTCTTTCGATGACTTTCATATTTGTCCCTGTTGCGATCACAAGCGTAAGCTTCCAGAGCAGAGCTCTAAAAGCCCTCCAGAGTTGTGTGAGAAACCAGTTGCACTGCTGGCGGGAAACGCCTGCCGTGTTCGGCGTATTGGCACTTCTCATCTGGGCATTACTCTAGCAGTACATGGCGGTTACATTTTGTCTGGTACAGTTGCTTATGTGGGTGTTTGATGGATTGGAACTCCAGTATTGACTGTATTTCATGCAGATAGAGTGTGCTGTCTCATCTGGTCAGACATAACTGACCGTCTGCGACGGTTATATCTTGTTTGGTTGCTTAGAAGCGACACCTAAAGCGAAGGCAGCTTTCTGGGTCTCTACTGATGCTGAGGTGCGACAGCATGGAGAGCATATGTATGGGCTCGATTTCCTACAGACGGGTTGTGCTGGGTTGGAATTGCATTGCCGAGGAAAATGGCTGAACTTCATACAGATTGACTTTGCCATCTCAGCCGTTCCCTGCATCCGTTACTACTGGAATGAAACATAGAAGAAAGATTAGAATGACCCTTCCTGAGAAAGGGAAAAGTAATTGATCCCCCCCGCGGCGAAACCTTTGTCACTTTTCATCCGAAAATCGTTGCTGCGCGGGTCAGGTCCCCAAAAAATAGCCTTTGTGTCATTCTTACACCCTGGCTGGGCAATTACATCACTTTCCTGCCATTTCTGCACAGTGGGCTCTGCTGGCGTTACGGGCCCAGCCAGGCTGCAACAACGGTGCAGAAACGACGCGAGGCCCCCCAAAATACTGTTTGCATGGTTTTCGCAGCCTTGCCGGGCTGGCAACGCCAGCAGGGCCCGCTGCGCAAAAATGGCAGGAAAGTGATGTAATGGCCCAGCCGGGGTGCAAGAATGACACAAAGGTTGCTTTGGGGTCCCGCACAGCGCAACCATTTTGGGGTGCAAAAATTACGAAGGCTCTGCCACAAGGGGGGTCACTTTTCCCCCTGAGAAAGGGCTATTGTTGTAAATTTAAAATCTTTTGTAAACAGACGGGTCCAACTCCCCCCATTATTCGCCTCTTGCATCTGAACATGCGGATTGATTCTGCCATCTCAGTCATTCGGGACATCCATTACAGTTGGAAGGATACAGGGAAGGTAAGCATGGCCCCTTTACAAAAAAAAGAAAAAGAGAAAACAAGTCATCCTGGTACGAAATAACTAATGGTCTGTGACAGCCATTTCTCGATTGGTTGCATTTGCATTGGGTGGTCGGCAGGTTGGAATACCAGATAAGCGGTTGGATTTCATGCAGACGGATTGTGCCATCAACCCAGGCAACTCGGGCGGGCCTCTTCTGAATGAATTTGGAGAGGTGACGAACGTTTGTTGTTCGGTTTTCATCCCCCTTTTCACTCCCCACCTCCGCCCAAAGAAAAAAAAAGACCCTTCTTCCTTTTCGGTTCTCTGATCTGAACATCCTCTGTGAGATCATCAATACCCAGTTGGTCATGGGCCAGGAAGCATCTTACTTCTGTGTCTGCAGACTCTGCACACCTATTCTTGTTTTTTTTTTTTTTTTTCCCAGAGTTCTCTCAGCTGTCCTGTGCCCATTCTGTGAATCTTCCCACAGCATCCAGTTTTCCATTTTTTTAATATATTTTTTTAAATAATAATTTGTACCATTTCTCGATTTAAGCATGTCATATCCTTGCGCAGGGGCCATGCTAATCTTCTCGTTGTATGCCACAGACCAGATGGTGGCCCAAATTTGGATGGTGGACTGGCCGGCCACGGACGCTGGACTTAATTCGGACTCCGGACTAGCCGACCAGATCCGATTGCGTGGATACCCAGAAATGTGCAGAAGAACCAGACATGCCTGGATACCGGTGTGATGTACCGGCTGGGACATGTCCGGATACCGGTGTGATGTACCGGCCGGGATGGCGTTCCGTCAGGATCAAGACGAAGGGGTGACTTTGAGGGAGATATGAATGGAGCTGGAGGGGATGAGGATGACGGAGATGCCAATGGAGCCTGAAGGGACAGGGCAGCTCCACTGCAGTCTCAACACACACGTACTCCAAACTGTCCAAATCAAGGATGCCTCAAGATACAGACTGCAGCTGGGGCTGGAAACATTAGGAGTGGAGTGGGGTCATAATAACTCTGGCCCTGCGATGGCCAGGCGAGACTAAGTGTCCTAGCTGAGTTGGTACACCACCTGCACTGTTGAAATACAGACCCGAGTTCGAACTCTGGTGGAAACAGACGAGTGAAATACTACTACAATTCTGAATTACCGAGGGCTGGTCAGTTCAATCATAATATCTCAAGGCTTTCACCCTTTCAAAAAAAAGGGGTGAAAAACAGTGGACTGAGCAGTACCATGTGGACCGGGTCATACTATGCGTATAACACAGTTGTGGAGAAAAAAACACACGCGCACAGACAGCCACAAACACACCCAAACACACAAACACACACACAGACACACACACACACACACACACACACACACACACACACACACACACATGTCAGGAACATGCCATGTGTTGCCTATGTTTTCAGGAAGCTGTCATAGAAAATGTGTCTCTACAGTGTGGACTATCCAGTCATCACCCACCACATCCTCTCCCAGCATGTCCCACATGCTGCGTTGTGCATACACCTGTGGCAATTGCAGTTGGATCTCCTTCATCCTTGCCAGACGAACAACCGGCACAGCAGCTGGTCGAGGAAAATGGACTACCATAGTACCATATGAGCCACCCACAGAGCGCTGTAACGTTATCACCACCAGGGCAAGCTGTTGCAGACCAAATCTTGCAACAGCTAAACACTATTGCTTTGGATCAGTCCCCGGTCGTCGTCTGCCCATAGCGAGGGAATAATGACTCCGGATACCGAGGACACTTGCTCAATACCGCTCTGTGATGGCCCACCTGAGATTTGGCTACCATGTGATTCATGTGCCTTGTGTCGCGAGGATAATGAATCGTAGCCCTTGCAAGTTTTTGTTTCCATACATATGATGGCAGTCGATACAAATGGGCCGGCATGCCTTTGTGTCCCTAGCATGTAGGAGCAACGTAGCCTTGATATCTGTCTACACCGTGCCAATCGATGCAGCATCGCAACTGCAAGAATCGGATACAATGCTTCCACAGTCCATACCCCAGGCTCACCATAGGTGGTCTGTAGGGGGGGGTGCTCACCGTAGGCGACGTCTGCTCAACTGTCTCCAACACTGACCGACCTCATGTGCCATTCTCGAGTAGTCTGATCCAGCGGTCAGTTTTGAGATACCTGTGAAGCTCGTCTCCCTCTGTTCTGTGTGTTGCCACTCCACCCTCCTCTACCCCTTCTTCCTCTTCCGCCCCTCACTTTCTATAGAACTCAACCCTCTTCCCCTTTCCTTTCTATTGAGAACCCTGTGAAGCTCGTCTGCATGAGCATGATTAAGAAAACATACAAAATATAAGGTGAAGATTTGAAGAAACAAACAGGATTATACCTCCCCCTTTACTCTGCCTCCTTTCCTAACGGTCAAGTGTGCCGTTAAGGCACATGGGGATTTGAGCAGCTGGCTCTCACCTGCAATCAACGTGGCCAGCCTTGTATGTGAGAGGCACCAGTGTTGCATCCCTGCCGACCGCCGACCCCGACCGCCGACCGTATTGCAGCCGACCAGTAGGGCCGACCGGTCGGCGGTCTGCCTACCAGTCAGAAAACAACCATCCACTATTTTTTTTTCAGATCTGAGTCGGAAGCTGTATTGCGCTTGCTGAGTACAGCCCAAATCCGCTGAGAAATTTTTGGGGATGGCGGGGTTGGGGGAGGGGTGTATAGGGGGTATAGGGGTGGTATAGGGGGTACTGGAGGGGGTATGAGGGTGTTGGGGGTATATCCCTACACTATTAAAATCGCTAACGTGACAAATCTGAAATCCGGGCCGTTGTTGGTCCTACCGGCCCACGGCCCAGATCAACCGAACCATGTAACAAATCTGAAATCCGGGCCGTTGTTGGTCCTACCGGCCCACGGCCCAGATCAACCGAACCATGTAACAAATCTGAAATCCGGGCCGTCGGGTCCTACCGGATCGACGCGCCGTATCAGCGCGATCTTAAGATCTTAAGAGCGTGCATCAATCCAGGCCGTTRGCCCGGTACCTTGGACGCGACGGCAGGGATTACTTGCCTGTTGGAGAGGGCCGCGGTACCTACCAGTGATTTCTTGGCGCGGTACCTACCGGTGGGGTTTTGTGTTTGGGCAAACGGGTTCCCATAGGCTGTCTGTGATGTAACTATTTTATCGTGGCAGCATGCACTGTTTTTGGATGGGGGCGTGGCTTTTTGGTGGCGGCATGGGCAAATTCTATGGCGTGGGAAAGACCCACCCCTATGCTACTGTACTTTGTACTAGACTTCTACTTTCCTATCCTATGCTACTACACTCGACTTCAACTACTACTCTACACTACACTACCACGCTCGACTTTGACTTGGCATGTGGATACATACACACACCCACACGACATCCGGGCAGACTGTAGGGGTTCAACCTCCTGATGAGTCGGTGGAAGTCCGACGAAACAGCCTCGCTTAGTGATGCCCACGCACGCACGCATTCAGCGCGCGACACACACACACACACACACACACAGAGAGAGAGAGAGAGAGACTACACAAAAACACCCAGACTGAACACACACGACGCTTTTTTACGTGCCAGAGGTTGGGCTCCGCATCCTGAAGGTGGGATGCTGACTGATGGTGAGTTAACTATACTCTGTTATTGATATTTGTTGCTTTCGTTTCTTTGTTTGCTTCGAAGCATGTGTGTGTGTGTGTGTGTGTGTGTGTGTGTG